TAGAGCTTTCAGTAGTACTGGGTTTGATGGTCAGATGAGACCAAAATAAAGTTTTGTTGGAAAACATCTGGGTGAACAAACCCTTTAATTAAACCGTAAAAGCTCCCTTCATTTCTTATGTGGAAATTTGACATTCCCACCTATGGTGAATTTGCAGAAACTCATCTTTGATAGTTTGTTTTGCTGTTAATATTTAGCAAATTTTCTGCTTGTTCTTTGGCACAGATAACAAGTTCACTAATATTTTTGCTGAGCAATGGCGATGCAGATATCTTAAGGGGACGGTTACAAAACCAAGAGAAAGGGCACATGATCACTGATGTATATATTATGGGATATATTATATATATATATATATATATATTATGCACAGTAAATAATTCTTAGTAAGGCAAAAGCACAGAAAAAAATAGTTTACAAATTATTCATTTTTAAATTATTTTAATTGACAATGAGCAGGCCTAACAGGCATTAGTATAAACTGAAAAACATTTTGCTGAAGGTCTAAAATGACTTCAAGGAACAGGTTTAATCATCATCTATCCTGACAAAACTACCGGTACTAACATTTTCATTATATTATTCTTATACTTTTCATCGGTCAGGATAAATCAGATATTTCATTAGATTGTCTGCAGAATGAGATGGATGTGATTTCAGAGCGAAAGCCTGAGCCGCTTCTTCCCAGTGTGAACTCTCATGTGAATCTCATGTGATTTTTGGCTTCTGTTTTTCCTTCCTTGTTCACATCCAGCAGGTCTAAAAGAAACATTAAATAATATGAGATTTCAAACAGGAGACAAACGTGAATCTTAAAGTCAAGATCACTGATGAGATTAATAGTGATTTTAATCCCATCAAATCTGGTCGACAACTGCTGTGCACGATTATGATCTATTGTAATGTCATGAAGATGATTTGTGTTAAATCACTAGTTTGGTCATGAAGCTCTAGATGGCGCAGGCTTGACATGTAATCTGTAAGCAATCACATAGTTATGCATAAAATTTGAGAATTTGTTGACAGACGGTCCCCTTTCAAACCAAACGTCAATATGTGTTGGACTGAAGTTAAAGCAAATTCATGCCTGTACAATAGAGCACCGCACTTGCACCGCACACCATAAAAGAAAGAAATAAAATGTTTAAAAGTTCAAAGTCAGAATAATACACTTGGGTTATGTGCTTTACTCTGTCATTTTTTATTCTCGACCTGAAACAATGTAAATCTAGCGAGTATCAGCATTTTCTTCAGCATTATAAATGAATGAGGACTCAAGAATAAACACCAACCTCTTTAATCTTCAGTATCATGAGGTTTCATTCTGCATCACTGGCTTTATCTCTGTCCTCTCCTTCCAGATGCTTTCTGCTAGTTCTGCCAAAAACACAAACAAGTTTTATTTTAACAGATAAATCATTTTTCAGATTTCAGTTTAACACAGTTTGTCCTGTTTGCCTGTGTTGGTTAATCTGGCTTGAGATGTTTTTTTCCCATTGGATAACTTTAACAATTATTTACTTCTCTTTAAATGTTAGAAAGTCATGTGAGTTTTTCAATCTTGGAAAACAGCACCGAACGGCACCCTCTTCGTTAAAAGCTAACATATGGAAAATTGGAATAATTTCATTGTGGCCTTTTTTCTATTTTTGTATGAGAGCTGCTTTCTGTATTTTTTTTTTTTTTTTTTTACATCAATATGCTGTAAACAGATCTGTTATCTGATGCACTAACACCATGTTTTATGCCTAATTTTCCTTGCATGCACATTAAGGAAATTAGATTCTGACAGACATCCTCTGTGAACGGCGCTTTTTCTTGCGCGGCTCGAGCAGAGGGGGGGAGAGAGAGAGCGGGAGCCGGATCGTCGTTGAAAACGGCCAGACGACCCCGCAGGGTGGTTAAATCCATCCCGTCGCACTCAGGGCAGCCGCAGTCATGGCCAATCAGGAAGCGCATATGTGCTGGTCTCCGCCGACGAGTGGGCCTCTACACGAGGCATAGGTGATGCGAGGCATTTGGAACAACGCCTCGGAAATTTGCTCTTAAAATTATTTTCTGTTGAAAACCATATTTTTTCCACAAAAATAAATTTTTCCACAAAAATAAGTCTGGAAAATGGGGGGGGGGGGGTCGTCTTATATTCAGGGTCGTCTTATATTCGGGTATATACGGTATGTTCAGGGAAAAAACACAACGGTCAAATAAAAAAAAAGGGTAAAAAAAGAAATAATCTAACTACAAACAATAGAACAAATAAACAATAGAGCACAGATACTTTTCAGGATTTTCAGGTAGATCTAACATAAGCTTTCAGGTACAAAAATGTAATAAAGTAAGTTAGTGGCACATGACAATTCTTCAGCACAACAAGTTTTAGAGGCACATGAATCAATCCCTCGGCACATGACACAATCCGTCTGCACATTGCACAAGTTCAGACTGATCTCATGAAATGGCGTGTGTATGACACGCCAATTCGTATTTCCATTTTTGGCGTGCTATCAACACGCATAATCGCTTTTCAGCGTGTTTATCAACGCCTTTGACTTAACGTTATATTACTGTATTATGTATATATAAATATATGACCTACCCCAACCCCGTCCCTAAACCTACCCGTCACTGGGGTTAATACCATTTTATGAGTCTTCTCCTACCATCCTAGGAAAAGAAATATCGCTCCACAGATGTAGATATAGATTTTGCTTCGTTTCGCTCGGACATTTAACGGCGTACACATACACGCGGAATCACTCGGACATTTAATGGCGTAGACATACACGCAAAAGATTTCGGCGTGGACATACACGCGGATAGCACAAAATGCGTATAGATAACACGCCACTTGAATTGAAAGTGGCGTGTATGTTTACGCAAAGTCATGATGTCATGTTGACAAGTTTTAGTGGCACATCAATCAATCCGTCTGCACATGGCAAAAGTTTTAATGGCACATGACACAATCCGCTGGCACAAGTTTTAGTGGCACATGAATCAATCTATCGGCAAATGGCACAAGGTTTTACCGGCGCATTATGATGCTATCCGTCGCCACTAGGGGTGCAACGATTCACATTGCTCACTGTTCGGTTTGTATCACGGTTTTCAGGGTTCCTGCACACTTTTGAAAGTCAAATTTAAGGCTTTTTAAGACCTTTTTAAGACCTGAAGAAATCAAAATTAATACCGTACATTAGGGCTGTGCAGTATTGACAAAAATATATCTTGATATTTTCAACGTTTTGTTGATAATAATTAGATGATATTTTACTGATTGTGTTTTTGTGCTGGTGCCATGGCTGGTTTAGGTTTGTTGTTGACAGCTGACTCACGAAGATATTCATATTTTTCATATTCTATGCAGTGGTCAGTTCACAGCAGTGACAGAAATTAATATTTTAATTAAGGGGCAATATTTGCCACCTTAAATTGATTTTTTCAGGGGCATTTTCACCTATATATGGACATTTTTTCTAAACTTATTTAGAGTTATGCATCACCTTTAATTTCAAATACTATCATTCAAATGAAATTATACAGTAATTATACAATAATACTTAATTATATAATAATCATACAGTACCACTGTTACAGTCAAATTAAATCATTCAATCAAAATCCATCTTTGCAGTGCAGAGGTGACAGAAGCGGCATCAGAAGTGGCATTAATTTATTTACACTCCATTTACAACTGCATAAATAAAGCTATGAGATATATATTTTTAAATCAATATTTAAATATGAAATGATTTCTAATTTTAACATTTTATTTAAAGGGTACTTTAAATATGAAACCGCAGCGGCAAATCACTGTCTTAATAAGTGAGTTGAGGGAGTCATTCATTCAACCGATTCGTTCAAACGGCTGATTCATTCGGGAAAGAAGCAAGTGATTCGTTCAAAACGCGGATTTCAGTCAAGAAATCATCGCTGTCGGTTGCATTGAGACTCTGCTACGGTTTCATTTTGAAATTATAGTCGGCGAAATAAAGGGAAAACAAACAATATTGACAATATTGTGTCTAAAAAGTAACTCAATGTTAACTTATTGTTAATTTAACTGTTGTATAACATAAATATCACAATTGGAATCGTGCACGGGAAAGCGGCACTCTTTCTGATGTGATATTCTAATATAAGAACATAATATGATATAAATATAAGACAAAAACTAATTTGGGGACAAAACAGTTACACTGCACACATCACGCAGTGAAAGCACGAGAGAAATGCGATGTCAGCTCGCAGTGCCTCGTACATTGTTAAAACAATGATTACAAGATCATAATAGACAATACACATCGCACACCATACGCACATAAAGAATGAACTTACAACTGAACTGACATTTACGACCTTTCTTCTCCTTCTCTCCTCTCGCGTGGAGGAGACAGTTATGCTGCCGCGACTCGCGAGTGACGCGAAATGTCACGTGAACTAGCAACTCCACAAAGATAGAATAATAAATAAATAAAAATACGTACGCTAATTAGATGGTTTTAATTTGGAAAGCTTTTAGATATGTCTAAGTAAAAGTGTCATCTAAAATTTAAGACCTTTCATAAGTAAAAATAAGACTTTATAAGATTTTTTATGGCCTTAAATTTTAAAAATCTAATTTAAGACTTTTTAAGGATCCGCGGGAACCCTGGTTTTGGTACGGTAAAGTATGTGCTATGTTCAGGGAAAAAACACAACGGTCAAATAAAAAAGAGTTATTGCGGGGTGAAGAATTTATTGAAGGTTTGTAGTGTAGCAGTCCTTCAGCAGCGATGTTAGCATGTTGCCCTTCAAAAATCTTAACCCAAAGTTATGTCTGTGAGACAGAACTTTATACATGAAGACAAATGGGCTACAAACAATAGAAAACTGTTAGGGCCATCCACAGGAGATCGATCTACCCTGCAATCTACTCTGAGCAATGCTGTTTCTTTGTCATTCACACCAATCAGTTTCTATGGGCCATACACCTGTATGGGCTATTCAGTTTCTATAGGTCATACATCTGTATGGGCCATTTGGTTCACACCTTTACAGACACAGATAGAGTTGATTACATCTGAGGCACAGTAACAGTGTAAATGCATCGGACTAAAGTTAACTGAAAATACACATAATCTTTGAATACTTATAAAATAAACACGGATTTTCAGGTAGATCTAACATTAGCTTTCAGGTACAGAAATGTAATAAAGTAATCAAATGTAAAATAACATTAAATATTTAAGTGTATAAATTAAGGATTAATCCTTATTAGTTACAAAAGCTATTCATCAAGAGCAGTGAGTGATTTCCGTGTCTTTTGTTGTTTTATTAATATTAAAAACACAGACAGCAGGAAAATTAGGCTGCTGTCCCTTTAAGGCATAATGCATCCAGTACACTGATACTGATACACATGCATTGTCTTTCTCCACGGTTTACGTTCACATAAGACACAATAGACTGTGTTAGCTAGAATACTTGCCAAGACGGGCATGTTGACATAATTGGTGTGTGAAGCTGTCTGTTCAAGTGCAAGACTTGAAAGAAAACTCAATATTGCGCGCTGTCTGAGATGGGCACTCCTATTGAACAAAGTTTACAAAAAGTGACCAGTTTATCCACGTTTTTGATCATCGCTCTTGTAACGTATTGGAAAGCCAGTATGCGTAACCATCAACAGAAACATACATTATCTGAACTCTGTCTGTTTTACATGTAATTTTCAACCAACCATAATAAAGATGTCGTCAGAATGCGGGCCGATCCGTGGGTGGATTTTTTACAGAGAATCATTGCACCCCTACAACACACATGCTACAGGTGGATAAGAGAGAGATAGCCCAGAGCCAATTTAATGGATGGGGATTATCAGGAGTACATGATTGATAAGCACCTATGGAGGGAATTTGGCAGGGACAACGGGGTTACACTCCTACTCTTTACTAGAATTGCCATGAGACTTTTTTGACCACGGAGAGTCAGGACCTCGCTTTAAGTGTAGGGACACAGCAATCTGATGTAAAAAAAAATAGCGGAATTGAAAGCTGACTGTGTTGTCGCCTCTCATCCCCTACATGTTGGCCAAAAAACACACTTAAACCAAAAGTACTACAGCCGGCTGTCAACTTGCAGGTGCGTTCATGTAAGGAAGTAGCTCTCAGTGTTTCCGCTACATTCATTCTGCCGTGGCGGGCCGCCACACCTAAAATCATCCCGCCACGGCTGCAGCTTCTCGGTCCGATATTGTATGTGTTATTGTTAAGCCCCACTAAAGGCATACAAAACATTGTAAAGCACCATAAAGTTTTTGCACTATATTCCAAGACTTCTAAAGTCATTCAATAGCATAATGTGAGGTAAAAATGTATATTTAAGTCGTTAAGTTAAAGTTAATGGAAACTCATCTCTCCTCAGTCATTCTACATTCAGCATTCAAACAGCGCGTCACGTTCGGTTACGACAGTAACACGACGACACTTTCTTCAAGATCAATGTTCCCATTATTATACTTTATTTGTAGATAAAGGTCTATAGTTTGCATAAAATTACTATCTTGCTGGAGTTTATAGCGCTTTCTAAATCATATTCCTTTCTCCCGGGTGTCTGTTAGATTACAGCACTGGAGTAGAGAGCACTATGAACTGTTCTTCATGCGCACTGTAAGTTAACTGAAATTTAAAACTGTTAAAAGAAAAGGCTCAATAAACTGTTGCATAGATATAATACATTAAGCATAGATAGATATAATCTCTTCGCTTTGTGCTTTGAACTTCTCAATGCGAAGCGCTGCACGCTGTGACTTCGCGTTGCTTCAAGTGCATCACTCTGCGCACGCGATGCGCATAATCGCTTTGCCGCTCTTATTGGCGCCTTTCATGTTATAATGCTTAGGGGAGGTTTAAACACCTGGGATAAGGGGGCGTGGCCAATGGGAATATCACTCATGGGCCACGCCCCCTCCCCCTGGCGAAATAGGCCTGCCACCACGGCTGGAAAAAATCCTAGAGGAAACACTGGCTCTCTATATTAGCTGGTGTCTATTTTCATCAATCAAAACACAAAACCAAAACTAGGACTGCAGATATACAAACCGTAAACTCAGCTTACCGTTTTATATATTAATCATGCCGATCATTTTCTTCATTCCACTCATGATTATTATGAAAATATTTGAGCGATGGAATACTCAGGTAAAATTTCAAATTATAACAGCCTTCTAACTGTACCGTTTTGACTTCTTTGCTCGCTGTTTTGCTATTATTGACTTTTTCACTTAATTGAATAGCCAATCGTCTCTCTCACTGAGAGGCCGACGTTGACTATACATGCCGAATCAGCCGAAAAAACCTGAGACTAGAGCCAACGGGGCAGAAAAAAATAAAGCCGCCTTGGTGTGTCCTGGGCTAAACGTCTCATCTAAAGGACGGTGCTTGTTTCAGTATAATGTGCTGGTCAATATACTGGGCCGTTAAGACCCACAGACGACAGGGTGAGCAGCGCCCCCTGCTGGCCTCACTAACACCTCTTCCAGCAGCAGCCCAGTTTTAACAGGAGTCTCCCATCCAGGTACTGACCAGACTCAACACTGCTTAGCTTCAGTGGGCGACCAGTCTTGGGCTACAGGGTGATTTGTCTGTGCCTAATGGTGCGTTCACACCAGACGCGAATAGCGCGTCAGGCGTGAGTGATTTCAATGTTAAGTCTATGCAAAGACGCGTTACGCGCGTAAAAAATTCCTGTGGCGCGAATGAGGCGTAGAGCGCGGCGCGGTAGACGCTAATACGCCTCGTTCGCGCGAATTGAGCGTCTGGCGCGTTACGCGCGAATGTTTTATGTAGTGCTTTTTGTGGATTCTCGCGTTTGACGCGAACTCGCGTCTGCCGCCCGAGTTGAAAAATCAGAACTTCTGCGTCAATTCGCGCCGCGTTAACCAATCAGGAGCCTGCTTGCTGCTGTCACGTGGTAAAGTGACAGTTTATAATGTTATTTTATGTTTGGCCTCAATAAATTATTTTGTAATATGACAAAAATGCTTGGTGTGCAAAGCAAATCTTTCACATAAAAACTCGATTTCAATATATGAGAGATACTCATTTTGTATTGAATGCTATTTATTCCATATCTATTCTAGATTAACGTTATATGAAACATTATTATTCTAATGTAAAGACAACAAACACAATTTAGTGTATACAAACATTTAAAAAAATCACAGGATAGGTTTCACTTTTGGAGGCTGGCTCCATTTATTATCAAAACAAAAATAAATGACAGATTAGGTGGATGCGGGCGAGGGTGAACCTCGCGCCGGGCTGTAGAGCACGGGCTCGACAGGCATAGACTACTCGAGGCCGAGGCCTTATACGGCCTACGCTGTCCTCGTCAGCGTCCTCACCGTTAGGTCCACCAAACCTAGCTCCTGGAGCAAATTGTGAAACCCTCTGGAGGGTCTGGTGGACCCGAGTACAGCGACGATGTCCCCTAGGCATTTGTTTCTGCTCTTCAGAGCATATACAAGCGGTGACTCTCTCGAATAATGCTAATGCTAGATAAACATCTAAAAAGATGGCCGCCAACGGGTTTCGAAACTTTCACCTCCGGATTTCGCCTCTGACGCGCGTAAATTTCGCTTCAAACTGTTGTTTTTACGCGCGTCAATTTCGCCATTGACACGCGAATTAACACAAAGTGGTCAAGCGTCAAACTAGACGCGGTAGACGTCCGGTGTGAACGCACAGTAACTTACACATAAGAGACTGTTTGCTCAGCACATAAAGATGAACTACTAACCGTGATCTCAGACTGCGGTGATGTGGTTTCTCCTCCTCATGGATCTTCATGTGTAGCTTCAGATGAGTTTTAATAGTGAAACTCTTTCCGCACTGATCACACGTGTACTCTCTGCTGTGGATCCTCTCATGTGTTTTCAGAGATGTTGACCGACAGAATCTCTTGTCACAGTGTGAACACTTGTAAGGTTTTTGTCCAGTATGAATTATCTGGTGTAATTTTAATCTGCTTGCTAAAATAAAAGTCTTCTCACACTCAAAGCACATGTACTCTCTCACACCAGAGTGTATTTTCTCATGTATTTGTAAAGTTTGCCGCCGTGAGAAACTCTTTCCACAAACAGAACATGAATGTGGCCTCTCCTTCGTATGAACTGTCAGGTGTGCCTTCAGGATTGATGCCCTAATAAATTTTTTGCCGCATTGCCTACATGTGAACGGCTTCTCTCCAGTGTGGATTCTCATGTGTCGCTTAAGATTTTCTTTGCGTTGGTAACTCTTTCCACACTGATCACATGTGAACGGCTTCTCTCCTGTGTGGATTATCATGTGACTCTTAAGGTTTCCTGGTCGGATGAAGCCCTTCCCACACTGATCGCATACATGCGGCCTCTCTCCAGTGTGAACTCTCATGTGAATCTCTCGACTTTTTTCTTGTCTGAAAGTCATTCCACATTGATCACAAGTGAACGGCTTCTCACCCCTGTGGATCATCATGTGTACGTTAAGGTCCCTTGATCGGACGAAACTCTTCCCACATTGATCACACTTAAACAGCTTCTCTCCAGTATGAACTTTCATGTGAGCATCAAGATTTTTTTTGTGTGGGAAATATTTTCCACATTGTTCGCATACATACGGCTTCGCTCCAGTGTGGATCCCCATGTGCACCGTAAGACCTGGTTTTTGTGTGAAGCTCTTCCCACATTGATCACATGTGTACGGCTTCTCTCCTGTGTGGATCCTCATGTGCATATTTAGACCATATTTCCTTGAGAAACTCATCCCACACTGATCACAAGTGAAGGGCTTCTCTCCTGTGTGGATCTTCATGTGTTCTTTGACGTTTCTTAATCGGGTGAAACTCTTCCCACATTGATCACACTTAAACGGCTTCTCTCCAGTATGAACTTTCATGTGAGCATCAAGAGTTTGTTTCTGTGTGAAATAGTTTCCACATTGTTCACATACATACGGCTTAACTCCAGTGTGGATCCTCATGTGCAGCGCAAGGCCTCTATTTAGTGTGAAGCTCTTCCCACATTGATCACATGTGTACGGCTTCTCTCCAGTATGAATTCTCATGTGATCATGAAGATATTGTTTGGTAGAGAATCTCTTTTCACACTGATCACACTTGAACGGCTTCTCTCCAGTATGAACTCTTGCGTGAATTTCAAGACCTGCTTTTTGGGGGAATCTCTTCCCGCACTGATCACATGTGAACGGCTTCTCTCCTGTGTGGATCCTCATGTGCATATTTAGGCCATATTTCCTTGAGAAACTCTTCCCACACTGATCACAAGTGAACGGCTTCTCTCCTGTGTGGATCCTCATGTGAATCTCTAGACTAGATTTCCTTGAAAAACTCTTCCCATACTGAGTGCAGGTTATAGATTTCTTGGCACTCGTTTTCTTTAAAAATGTTTTTTTAGTCTTTGATCGACTCAACTGGTTTTCTCCAGGTTTGACATGAAGTTCCTCCTCCACTTCACTCTCCTCGTTCTCTTCCATCAGGTCTGAAATGAAAGAGAAAATTTCCTTTTCAGTACATCAAAACAATTCATAAAGAGGATCATGAAGTAAAAGGACATAAAAGTGAGCCCTGAAGTAACAAAGTTGACAACTGCTGTAACATTTTATGATCAGGGGCGTTTCCTCTGAGGCAGCAAAGGGAGGCGGTGTCTCCTCAAAAAAAAAAAACGATGCGAAAATAATAGATATTACAAATAATAAAAACGCAAATTAAAAATGTGACATTAAAAAGTGTAAAATTTACTTGTTTTTAAAAAGTAACTGTCCAACAGCGACACCTTCAGGTGAAGTTACAGCAGGATGCCGGGCCTCTCTTGCCTCCCCTGAGCCCATTGAGTTTTATGTCATTTTTTAATTAATTTTTAGTCTTCATTTTCATTCTTCCCTGCACACATATACACCTCTCCGGCCAGGTTATAGCTCTAATCATTCTTTTCTTTTGTCTTCATTATAATTACTGTTTTAATCCCTCATTTCTTTGATCAAACTTCTCACTTCACGTTCTTTGACACTATCAAATACCCTTCTTGAAAAAATAAACATTTCAGTGAGCTTTACAATTCAAAATTATTCGTAAACCATATTCTTCAGTCAGTGTGGCATTGCACGTCAAGTTCGTAGAAAGTAGGGGTGGAACGGTACATGTATTCGTATTGAACCGAAACGGTGCGGGCGTCACGGTTCGGTCCATGAATTTACACGGAGAACACATGGTATAAAATTAAATAAAACTTGCGTGCAAATTAATTGATGTAAAGCGGAACTACTGTTAGATACGCAGGTTCTTTAGGGCCATATAATCTGTAGCCCTGCGTTAGCCGAGCTCCGCCTATGTATGCAGTTTCTTTGTAAAGTCGACGGTCCAGAGAGTGAGTCAAAGATAGCAGCACCAAGGACGAGTATGGCGAGTGGTGGCGACCCACAAGAGTTAGAGCACCTGTCTTTAAGATCGCAAGTTTGGGAAAACTTCGGTTTCCCAGTCAGTTACAATTAATTAAACCAACAAGCTTCAATATTAGGTTACTCACTTGCGCGCGCGCACGCGCGCACACTCTCTCTCTCTCTCTCTATTTCTCTTGCCCTGGTTAATTTATAAAAAAAATTATTACAGCGCTACTTTATTTCACTTCAGAATTCTAGATCTGAACTGTAGATAAACGGGAGGGGAAAATCAGAACTATATATATTTTCCGTTTGACCAGCAAAACATTCATGAGTCATGATGACAGCGGTTATCTTATCTATTTATCCAACCCATTTAAAAACAGTCTGTCGGTGCCATCTTTTGGACATTCATCATATTGCATTGGTTTTCATTTCTTGTCCTCAAACAGAGCACTAATCTGTTTATTTTTAAGTTACACATTCTACATTGATTAAAAAAAGAAAATCAAAGGTAGTATTAATGGTAGTATTATTTTATACAGAAATACATTATTTATAATTCAGATGAGAATAAAGTTAGTGTTAATTAAAATTTTAAGGAAAACAAATATATTGATCTGAAATATAGCAAATTCATTTTAAATTGATTCAGATACAATTACCAAACATATCTCAAGGTCTTTTTGTCTTTTTATTAATTTAATTAATAAACTAATTATATAAAACTATTGTCAATGCATTACAAATAAACTGGTTCTATGCCTTTACTTTATTAATAAAACTTATTTAAAAAATACAAGGCTTAAAGGTATTGTAGGTAGAATTTTTTTTAAAAACTTTTTGCCAATTTTTTTTAAACTTTCTATATTTATCAATGCATAATTAAAATGTAAGTACTCTGGAAAAGAGAGTATAAAAATCGAGTGTCTGTAGTCCTCTCAGGGCTGTAATAAACACAGCTACTTATCTCCATTCACTTCCACCCCCTCCATTCTGGGCTCCTTCCAAAACCACGCCCCCAAAACACATGAACGTGCGATGCCGACAGCTCACAGCTGGAGGACGCGCTTACTAGCGCCGAGCGGAGAGGAGCAGTGCATGTAGTGACATCATGTCAGACTCACATGTAATAAAATACCTAACTTTATCATTATGAATATAAACAACTAACATGGCTGTTAATACTCACTATCAAGCTAGCATATCGATACTGTTAAAGTTTAAAATATATTGAGTTTGATTCGTTAACGAGCTAGTAACATAAAGCAAAGCTAAAAACAGGTTGCATTGATACACGTTTTCCCATTACAATCAGTTACACTGTGATGAAGGTGAATTTTGTGTAAGATTCATAACATATACGCCGTGTTTTGCATGTAATTGTGTCTCTTACTAGTCTCTTACCCTCCTCGAGTCAAACGAGTGCGCGCATGTGGGCAGCGCATGTAGCAGCGGGGGTGTTGCCATGGTTGCGAGAGAGTGACAGTCGCCTAAGCCAATCCTTTGTTTCGTCCCGGAAGGAAATAATGAGCTGTGTTTAGTGCAGATTAAACGGTCTAGAGTCACTCGATTTTTATACTCTTTTTATCAGAGTACTTACATTTTAATTATGCATTGATATATATAGAAAGTTTAAACAAATTTGGGAAAAAGTTTTTTAGACCAAAAACGACCTACCCAACCTTTAAGACATTTATATTCCTTTAATCCAGCCCCCAGAGAAAATGCTCCAATAGTAATTTGTTAATTACATGAATTACTCAAATGTAGTAATGCACTAGGTGGTACAGCCTGAGACATGCACAATAAAAAAATAATGGCCTTCTGCATTTTTGTTTTGCTTTTCCCTCCATTGTACCGAACTCGTACCGAACCGTGATGTCTGAACCGAGGTATGAACTAGAGATGCGCGGTTGGCGGTTATAGCCGCGGACTCCGTGGATAAACCGCGGATCGGGCGGATGACGTGACGAATTTTTTTTTTTAAATTAAATTCGGGCGGGTGGCGGGCGGTTTCTAGTCTCGCGGCTGTCATCAGCAGCGCCTTGTATCAGCGGATGGCGGGCGGGTGCGGTTTTGAAAATTGGTCAAAAACGTTGGTGCGGATGGATGGCGGACGGATGATGAGTTTTGTGATGCGGTTGCGGATGAAATAATAGCCCATCCGCGCATCTCTAGTATGAACCGAACCGTGACTTGTGTGTACCGTTCCACCCCTAGTAGAGAGCATTAAGTCCATATTAAATTCCATTATTAAAAACCATAGATTACCTAAGAAGTAAATGCGCTAAAAATCCGCCCTCATTTAATGATAATTTAACGGAGAAAGCACTGACACCTGCATGAATTCATCTGATAGTACGGGCAGAAAGGTTTTTTTTATTTAACACTTAAAATTTAAACAAGCATGTGTAGTCTATCTGTTCATGAGAGAACCGGTACCACAGAACGAGTGTAGCCTCTACATCTATAGACGTTTTTAAATCTGAGAACTCAAAAAAAGCAACTGAAGGGGAAAATCTGGAATTCCTTGTCTCTTCAGTATATCTTTTTCTTTTGAGTGATTTGATGAGTGATTGGCATATATAGTTTACAATCAAGCTATTAATGAATGATTTCTGATTGGAAAATGTGTGTTTATCTATTTCTTAGCCAATCAGAATCATTCAACTTGAACCAAGGACGTAGCTTAGACCTTTGTGAAGGGTATAACTACTGTGATCTTTGTAACTGTAAGCAGGGCGGCCTAGGAACTCCTTGTGAGTCTTGAAGCTGACTTCTGCCTGATGAAGCTGCAAACTATCTTCAGTAAAAAATGTCTTCAATTTATTATAATTCTGACTCTTGTCTTAAATTGACTGCACTTCTAACTCCTGATATTACATTGACATATAAAAAGGGTCATTATATCACCCCTTTAATATGTAAATGTAATATGTTTCAATATGTAAAATAAGTCTTTGTTATCCCCAGATGTGTATGCTAAGTTTTAGCTCAAAATACCCCACAGAAGTTTTTTTTACAGCATGTTAAAGTTGTCCTTTTTTGAGGGTCAGTAAAAATGCGTTATTTCATGCGTGTCCCTTTAAATGCAAATTAGCTGCTGCTCCCGACACAAAGGGCGGAGCTTCAAGAGCTTGTGTGTGTGTGTGTGTGTTAGCAGCTTCAATTAGCTCATGCAGACAAGCACTAAAATATCAGAAACCGTTGTGCCTTTTATGTTTTGAACTGGAGTCAGTTTGGTACCTTGGGTAGACGATATAAAGTACCTTTGGTGAAAAAGGCCAAGTATAAGAAGACTTTTATTCCGACTGCCATTGATATTTTAAATAGGAAATAGGGGAGGGGAGGGGAGGGGAGGGGAGGGGAGGGGAGGGGAGGGGAGGGGAGGGGAGGAGGGGGGGGGGGAGGGTGTATCTTAAATAGTGTGGTTGTCTTTTGTATTGTACTGTTTGTTGAGCCCTTGTCTAAAGACAATTTTCTACCCCCTGTGGGGATAGACAATAAAGCTTTTTTTTTTATTTGAATTTTGAATTTGAGTCGCACAATGATGGAGAGACTGAAGAAGAAGTGACAGCATGTAGAGCAACAGTACATTTCTGAATGGCTAGTTGATGAATTTATGTTGCTGATGTGGAGTTAACTATCTTTAAGTCATTGATTAGCATATTCTGTCATGATAATCTATAAATCGCTCGTGTGGGAACTGTTGTAAGATGCCTACAGAGAGACATGATATTTCATTTGTGTTGCGAACTGTATTGCATGTGAAAAGATAGATGCGACAGCTAGGGCTGGACCCGAACATTCGAATATTTGTTCGGTGGGTTGGTATTTGATTTGAAAATGTGACATTCGAATATTTTTTTTTTTTGTTGTTGTTGTTTTTTGCACACCTGGCATCCCCCTCGAAACGGTTCTCATTCGCGCTTGAATATGTTTTACACTATAAAATCTGGTGAAATATAATACTTAACATATAACTTCGTTATAGCTACTTAATAAATATATTTGCTTCTTCTTGGACTACTAAAAGTGTTCCTGCAACGGGAGTATTCTCTGGCTAGAGCGCAGAACAGCGGAGTGTGTATGGACAGAAGTGCATGCCTGAGTTTGTGTTTGACATTGTGGAAAATAGAATAATAGAAACAAAATGTATTATCTTTTTTTACCCGTTATTATTAATCTAAATCAATCTACTGCGAAATATAGGAGACTTTGAGATTTTACTGGGACTTCACGTCACAATTTCGTTTTTCTTTATTTAATTTTTTTTTATTTTTTTTATTTATTTAAATCTACCCTACTTTGTCAGTGAGAAAAATATTATAAGACTATACCTTATTAAAATATTGAAAGACCTGTGTGTGTGTTTTATATCACTAGTGCAGTGTCCATTCTCGGAGCATATAAGCCCTGCTCAAGGCGCGCCGCTTCTTTATTTAAATCTACCCTACTTTGTCAGTAATTTGTTAGTGAGAAAAATATTAGACTACCTTATTAAAAATATTGCTTAAAGGTGCTCTAAGCGATGTCACGCGTTTTTTAGGCCAAAACTTTTTTTTTGTCACATACAGCAAACATCTCCTCACTATCCGCTGGCTGCCTGTCCCCTGAACACACTGTAAAAAAACACGGTCTCTGCAGACAGCCCAGGCTCCACAAACGGCAACAAAAACAAACTGGGCTTACCCGCACCACGAAACATAATCTGTTCCAGCCAATGACTGACAAGAAGGGTTTGGGGGGTTAGTGTGCGGATGAGGGTCTAGCTAGCCTCTGTTTTGTTTGACAATAGTTCGAACGTCAACAAGAAGTGACGTCACCCAGGATCGCTTAGAGAACCTTTAAGTTAACAGACCTGTGTGTGTGTGTGTTATATCACTAGTGCAGTGTCCGTTCTCGGAGCATATAAGCTCTGCTCGCGTGAGGCGCGCCGCTTCCCGCTCGCGCTGTTCTGTAGTTTATTAAAAGTGTATTAATTCTGAACGTGTCGCGTCTTGCCTGTCTATCTATATTGCAACAAATATGACACTGCACTCCCTTGTGAAGTCGTTTGGATGAACGGTTCTCGAAATAATCAAAATGCAAACGGACACAGACAGACATACAGAGATTACGAAGCTTCGAATATTTGATGTTCATTACTACCGAAGCTTCGAAGCTCAAAAAATGGTATTCGGACCAGCCCTAGCGACAGCTTGAGCAGACTCACAAATGTGCTCGACTACAACAACTCTTCCTCTTCTCACCATGGACTGGGTGTTTCCTGGGGCGGGATTTATGTAAATTTTAGGGTTAGTGATGAAATAAAATCAGAATCATGCTCTCTTTTTAATGATGATACCCTAGTTGTTATTGACGTTGTAATCAGACTACTTGTCCGGTCAGGCAAGTACAATTCTATTTTACTTGTCCCGGACAAGCGTTAATGTCGAGCCCTGCTTTGTAGCATTCTGCACAGTGATATACGCTATGTCGATTAGCATTGCATAATAAATACACTCTATAGTTATGAAAATACCCGACAAAAGGAAGGAAAGGAAACCCCGGCAACTGTAGTGTTCAGTTTTGTTGGGTTTTTTTCTCCATGAGGCTGTGGCCTTCTTGTTTTACAATTCAACATTTAATGTTAAAAGAAATTAATAATGATACAAGAGTGTCACGGCTGTCATTCGTTATTTCGTTATTTTGAAAAGGCCTACTGAAACGATGGCAGGCGCTCTCGTCCCAAAACCTAATGTCACGTCGCCAGTTTGGGAACATTTCGGCTTTCAAACCAATGAAAAGGGCAAGCCAGCGAATTTAGATGAGCCGATATGCAAAATTTGTGGCAAAAAGGGTTCCTGTGACACGTGGCAATACATCTAATTTGAGGCGTCATCTCGCTAACTGTCATCCAGCCATTGAAGCGCAGCTGCCGCCTCAAGCATCAGGTCGCGGAGCAACATCAAAAAGAACAGCTGAGGCCGGTACCAGTCGACAATAAGGAGTAGCTGAAGTCTTTGCGAAATCTGTCAAATACAGCTGTGAAAGTAACAGGCATAAATGCCTTAAAGCCGCTGTTACCAAGTAACTAGTTCATGAGATGGTTCCATTCAACACGGTGAAGAAACCTGCATTCAAGTCAATGCTTCAAAAATATATTACTCCTCTCTATAGAAATTTGACGTAAACATGATAAACTATCAATATTTCTCCAAAACTGGACGCTTTTGAACTAAAAGCTGTAAAGGAACGTTGTTTAGTCAAACACTTTCATGACGAACGCATGGAAGTTTTTTCTTAATGGATGCAGCTGAGTCTCATAATTAATATTAAATGGATGCACTCACTTGGTTTTTCATTTTCATAACTCCTGACACATATTAATATATTACTGTCACCATATGATTTCAGAATAAAATAGAGGTCAAATACTGAAGCTTGCATGTTAGACCTTTGATGATACAGTATAGTTAGTCGAGGTAATTACAATCTTTACATTAAAACTAACAGTAACTTTGAACTAATGCAAACAAAGAACGTTTCAGTGCGCCAGTTAAAATAATATTGAGATTGACGAGATGTTGAAAAAAATCAATATGAACCTCTCTTTACTGACCATAATTTTTTTTATTTAAAAACAAGAACATTTTGTACCCTTTCATAGTTTAACGGCAGTGTTGTTTTTGGCAGCCCTTTTAGTTTTAGTCTTAGTCTTTTGGACGAAAATGCTTTTTAGTTTTAGTCACATTTTAGTCACTTATAAACGTAATAGTTTTAGTCAAGTTTTAGTCGACGAAAACAAAAAAAGGTTTTAGTCAAGTTTTAGTCAATTTAAAAAAAAATATAAAAAAAATGAGTCTTTAAAAAATAGAGAAAATAAAAGTGCAGCTGTGTCAATTTGTATCAAGTTCAAAAATGGGAAAGAAATAAAAGTGCCACTTTGCAATCTGTTAAAAAAAGAGAAAAGATTAGAAATCTATTTGGCAAGACAGGTCTATTTATCCCTGCATTAGTGGCTGCAATGAGCCTGTTTTGCATTGCACAATTTCTCAAAAGTCATGCTCAATGTTCAGCTGAGATCTGTACTTTGTTTTCAGTGAAGCTGAAAAGCCCATCTCACAGAGATATGATGTGGCAAAGGGAAGAAGAATGCACACAGCTCTCTGCCTTTCGCCTACTTAAAAACGTGATATATTTTAAAAAAAAAGATAAAATAGACATAACATACTGTGTTTGATATGGGATTAAAATGATGGGTAGTGTATGGGCAGTGTATAAGATATAAACTAATGATTAATTATTATATTGCTTTGTTCCGAACAGAGCATGTGAGCGGAGAGCGCATTTCTGAATATCCCTCCGCTCGCTCATTCAGCTCAGGCTCGCGCGCTCAACACAGAATGGCCTGCTGGTTCGAGAATATGTGGAATAAGAGCTGCCTCCGACTAAAGTTTTTATTCTAGTCGACTAGTAGTTGTTCATTTAAGCCATTAGTGGACAAATCGCCCCTTTATATTAATTTAATTACTTAAATAGGCTATACAGGATAATGAGCGTTATAGCCGCACTCGAGCGCACGACCGCACGCATAAAGCTTGCCACAAAGAACCGGCAAAAGTAATGATTATGAATGTGTAAAAAAATAGCAAGGAGACATTTAATTGTTTATTAATAAACTGGAGTTTTCGGTGTCGCAGCAAAGATGAAGTTGACGATGCGGACGCCATGAGCGAATAAAGATACAAAGGCATAAAACGGAAAATTTCCTCCCGTTTGGAGGAGACCTGTCACGGCAGTGGGGCGCGCCCCACACTTTGAGAACCGCTGGATTATACTGAAACTGAAAGTATGTCCATAAATCATCTCGTCGTTTCCGACCACCAAGCCCGTCTATTGGCTTCGATCGCTGCCGTGGTCCTTCGAAGATGTGTGGTGAGTGACTAGCCGCAGCCGCAGGTGTGTTGTGTGGAATCTGGTGCGCGCGGCGGCATGGGTAGCCTACCCAAAACAAGGAAGCGGCAGCATTGCTGATACTTTTTTTAGCTCCAAACAGACAGATTTCACGCAAAATAGGCAGAAATGACATGCTTGTGATTGTGAACGTCAGACTTATAATCATTTTCGTTCCGTCTCGTCTTGTCAACGAAAACTCGAAAACGTCTCGTCATGTTTTAGTCACCTTAGAGCCATTTTTAGCTAGTCATCGTCGCGTTATCGTCATAAAAAAAAGTGCGTCAACGAAATCATTTCGTTATCGTCATCGTTGACGAAAACAACACTGTTTAACGGTTTATAAATGTGATGAAGTGTATGAAGCTTTAAAACATGAATGTTTTTCAGCATCATGATTGAATGAATGAAGAATAAACACCAACCTCTTTGTTCTTCAGTATGTTCAGTGTGTTTCATTCTGCAGGGTTCTGGATCACTCGTGTTCTCTCTGTCCTCTTTAATAAACTCAGTCTGTGCAGATTTCAGCTCGTCCTGATGCGTTGATGCTCGTCTTCACTTGTAGGCTGATGGGAATATTTTAGTATTTATTGTTGAATTGCTGATCTGCCAAAATCAAAAATATATCAGTTACTGGGTTTGATTTTATATTAAGTGATTCTAAGCATTTATGTCTGTCTATCTATTCATCGTCTATCTAATTTAAAAATGATTGTTATTGCTAAAATATTTTTTATTTACTTTTAATTGTCAGATATCAAGAAATATGGGAGTTGAATACAAGTAATGTAATGTCAATTCTTGCAAATGGTAAGAAAACCAGTTGAAAGCATGAACAGAAATAAATGTAGCTACGTTTGCAAACGAGTATTGCACCTGTATCAATTTACAGGAGATCTGAAGACATCAGCATAATAAATTAGGTGTAATAGTTTCTGCAGAAACTATTAACATGAAATAAAGGTTTTTTTCAGCAGCTCTGTTAATATTGATGAGCCTCAGAGTATATTTGAGGCAAGCCATTCAGGATCATCAGCAGAATATCTCACTTTATTATACTATTTGATAATATATAATATATTACATTATACTACATTATAGTATACCATTAACCCTAACCAGATTATTTGAGTAACATTAGATATGTTAGAAATCTATAAATTGCTTTACCGAAAGACAATAACGTTAATAACAGTACTGTTATTTCTCAGAATATCACACGTGTAAAACATCAATAACACTAATGACACTCATTTTTCATCAACCACTACAGTTAATTACAGTTTTGTGTACAGAAACTAACAAGGATCATAAAACCTTTACAAAAAAAAAGCAACACAAACAATAATATTTACTGTGTCAAACTATTCATAATTACATTATCATTTATGTATAGATTTAAAATGTCTCCCCCTCACAGATCTCAAACTTTGACTTTTGACTTGACATTTATTAGTTGTTCTCAAGACATCGAAACGAACACACAAAATCACTGAGGTCTGAATGAACTCAACATATTTCCCTCATGTTCGCAGCTGATGCAGCACTAAATGTTTATTTCAGTAGGAAGACGCCAGAAAGACGCACAAGTATCGCTTTGCCCAAAGAAAACGATACAGAAATGAGCCTGTCGTTTAAACAAACTGTATAAAGTGCACCGTGAACAGCTCGACTCACATCAGAAGACTCGACGACAGGACGACTGGACCTGGACCGTTACTTCTTCTTCTTCTTCTTGTTTTGTGTTTTTGGCGGTTGGCAAACCAGCTTGAGGTGCATTGCCGCCACCTTTTGGGAAGGAGTATTTGGCCTCGATGAACGAAAGGAATATAAAAACAGACTAATCCTTCTAATCAAATTTGTATCTCTTAAATATTTCAGAAGACTATCATACACCCTTAACTGTTTCTGTGTTATATTATTATTAGATATTAAATCTGAATTATATTCTAAACTGTAGGCTAATGACATTGATTTCCAAATCTCAAAAGCTGATTTCTTTCTCTTTTATATGCCTTATTACAAAATCAAATGTTCAACGGTTTCTGATTTTCCACAGTAATTGCAGCAATCTGTCTCACATTTTCCCATAATATGCAGTGAACAATGATCGATCTAGCCTGTCCTATACGGAGCCTGGTTATAACAGTATCTGTGTCCTTCTTTTTACTTTTTAGGTTGAATGCTAGATAGGTGTACTTCATCATCTGCTTGAGCACTGGCATCTGCTTCATCATCTTAGTTGAACTTCTTATACTTCCATTGTATCTTCTAACTAGTCCACATTTGATTATTGCAATGGCTGATTTAGAAACTTATGTGCTGTGTATTATTAAAGTTAAATAAAGTAGCATATAAGGCTATTATTAACAAACCGGTGTAGCAAATTAGCTCTAAAGTAATATTAATAATCAATCATAACTTGTTATAATTATTTATGAATATTTGGATCAGTTAATATAATTAACTTAATGTTGTTAATAAATTAACCTGTGTCACAGTCATCGTCTGCACCATTCTGTCTTCGTCATCTTCACTACACTTCCCAGAATCCTCTTGTCTCCACACCTGAATTCAATCCCTCAATCATCCACCTGTTCATCGTCTTAATCATCTGTGTCACCTGTCCTCACCTCGTTAGTGGTCGTTTGTATCTGTATTTAGTTCTCTCTGTTCAATCTGACTTTGTCGGTTCTCGTCAATGTTACCTGGTGTTTGCATCCGCTATCGGGCCATCCCTAGTTGCCATAAATATTTTAATAGTTTGACAGCACTACATGGAACCATTTGAATTGAGTTTACACCTTCTAAAAGCAGGAGACCATTTGCCTGGAAGACACACCCTTCTATGTGTGCGAATTATCTCTAAACTCTTAAATACCTTATTACCTTTTGGTTTTATTTCTTTGAGAATTTTGACCTTTGCACCAGTCGCACTGAGACATTTCAAATGATATCAAATGTGTAATACCGTATGATAATTATTCACATTAACCTATATAGATTTTTGGGGGAATTTCAGGTGATCTCAGCATGATAGGAAGAGGGAACGGGGAATGGGGGTTCAAGGGAAAAAGATGTAGATTAGGATTGCTTAGGTGAGACTTGCGTCTTGAATGGTGCACATTCAAATGAAATTAAAATGTTCATTTGCCCTCTCTTCCAGTTTCTCCAGTCTTACAAGAGCACAAACAGGTTCCTAACTGACACGAGGACTTGACAGAGCAGCCATCAAGTGTTAGACAGTATTCTAGGTTATTACATGAGGAAGTTTTTTGTCCAATAATTAGAATCTCTGTTTTTTTTTAGAATTAAGTAGTAGGAAATTACTAGTCATCCAGAGCTGATTATCGTCAGCATAACAGTGAAAACTAATGTCATGCCCCAACTTTATTTTGAATAGCATACAAATGTCTCCCTTTAGTTTCCCTGTCCCACTGATGTTGCCATTCTCTAATGGATTCTTTCCATATTATACTATTTCCTTCAGATTTTGACAACTTAATATTTGCTTCAATATTCTCTTTTTTTGGCTTTTCTTGGCTAATTTCTCCACTCTCTCATTACCCACAATGCCAATATGAGCAGGAATCCAAGTCAGTTGAATATCATAAAATGTTTCCCTTATTCTTGATTATATTGTCAATATTGTATACAGTATATCCTGATGACTATTAGATATACCAGTCATGAGACTGTATAAAGCTGACACTGAATCTTCCAATTAAAGCTTTTTTTATTTTGTTTTTCTCAGTCCATTCTAGTGACATCATAATAGCGTATAATTCAACGGCACACACACTCAAATCATTTGTGGTTCGTCTGCTTACCTCACATCTTTGATTAAAAATGTAAACTGCAGATCCAGTCTTTCCTGTTTCTGGTTCCTTTGATCCATCTGTATAAATCTGAACATACTCTTTATATTTAAAGTCTATATATCTATAAAATTCTGCCACCAGATCTGTACTATTGCTTACTGCTTTGATTCGAAGTAACTTAAAATCAACTTCCATGGTTTCTAGCTTCCATACCGGTGTATCAGGCCATAGTACAGTTGGGCAGAATTATTTTTCATACACTCCCAATTCTCTAGCTGCCTCATCTCCTATCCACCCAAAACTGAACTTTTGTGCTCTCTCCCTTTCCCAATTAGCTTGCAGTATAAGTATTCGTTTAGTTGGATGACTATCTCCATGTCCTTTTAGATTTACCCAATAATTTACAAGCAATTGTTTACGTCGGATGTTCAATTGGATCTAACCTTTTGTGTGCGCGTCATGACAATTTTAACCTTGTGTCAAAGTGTACTATTAAAAAACGGAATGTTTTAACTCTCTCTAAATTACTTCATATAGTTTTAAAATTAATATTTTCCTTGATTTTCTTTCCTGTAAAAAACATCACTTTAGTTTTCTCTATAGAAAATTTAACACCTGCTATCGCTTCAACTAGCCACGTCTTCCTAACATTGTCAGGGAAGCAGACACACTTCAAAGCTAGACTAAAAACACATCTCTTTGACCTAGCATACATATAACACATTATAGACTTCTATAATTCAATGTTAGGCTGCATAGATTATGTCAGCTGGATCCGGGAACATTTCCCATAAATCCTGTTATACTCGTTACATCATAAGAAGAATGGCATCTACGCTAATATTAGTCTCTTTGTTTATCCCGAGGTTTACCGCAGTCAGCCGTATCCAGGCCGTATCCAGATCTGATGAAGGACCTGCGTCTATACTCGACGACAAAGCAGTCCTGAAGTGTCACTAGTCCCTCCCTGTGAAGGCCTCCTTCCCTTTACCTCTGTACAGATAATAGTTGTCGGGATAATGCCGGTTCACGTGGCTATGCCGAAGTGATAAAATTCTGTATTATAAATTTTAAGGCCAGACAAGTAGTTTGTTGATGGTTGGTTTTTTAGGGAAGGACTACATGCTTGCACACATATATTCAAATGCACATACCTATATAATGAACTCTTAATACGCATGTGTACGCCATCAGCGTTCTCACAGGTTCGAGTTTTTAAAGTTTGCGTAGAGAGAACTTAAGAGTTTTCTGTTAAAACGTTGCTGTGTTAGTGGCCCCTAAGTTAATAACTAATGATCGTTGTGACGGAAGTGAATCAATCAAAACTAACTTTAACTGGACAATAACTTTATACTAGAGCTGTCATAAAGCCAAAACAATCTATTGCTTTAATTTCCTATTATCACTGTGGAGCCGCTTTGGAACAATCTACATTGTTGAAAGGGCTATATTAATGAAGATGACTTGACTAGATGTAAAGAGATTGAAATATGTCAAAAATGAATTTATGGCAGAAGAGGTCAATTGCTCAGCACAAACGGTAAGCCGTACGGAAAGAATCAGAATAATCCTAAAGGCAGCTGGAAAATATTTGGATGCGGAAGAAGTGACGTTGGAACAAGTAAATGAGAAATTAAAGGTTCATACATAGCAAATACACAAACAGCATGTGGTGGATCGTAATGGTCTTCTTATTCATCCTTCAGTGGAATGGTAGAAGATTGGGTAACACTT